TTCAACAATTAGAATGAAATTTTATCTAAATATATTTTTAATTTAATAAAAATAAATATTTTTATTTATTTAATAAATTTATTTTATTTAATAACTTTTTAAAATTGTATTTATTTATAAAAGAGAGTATTTTGTTCTCTTACTGACCTGATCCTGGTATAGACAATATAAAGAACAAATGGCAATAATTTCACTTGTTCAGTTTGCTTTCCATGTAAATCCAAATAAAAAATAGTTTAAAATACTCAAATTCAATTTGTATGTGAGTACTTCATGAATCATGAACTCTGGAGGGTAGGATAATTACATTTTCTGCATATTTCTGAGGGATACATATTTATATATTAAATATATGTTATTCTTATGTATAAAATACTCAATAAAATAAATATGTATTTATGTACATTTAACTCCATATGTGTTTTTGTGCCATATATAGGATAATCAAGGAAATTACTGTCAGAAGTGTTAAAGGTATAGAGTTACTATTTAATTAATAGACTTTAAAAGTATTAATCAGAGCGTGCAATTACATAGAATGAATCTTTAAATCAGAATCATCAGAAAGATTTCTTATATAACAATCATTTTGATTTGAATCATTAAACCCAGTTTTAAAGCATTTAATATTCTAGTGAATCATAACTTATAAACTCATTATACTTGAGAAAACAAGATTTTAAGTCATCTTTAAAGGCAACAATTCATTTTTCAGATATTTTGCTTACTCAGATTTTAGTCATGAAAATAAATAGGAAGATTATTAACTCTTTTTTGTTGTTGTTCCATTTGCCCCTGGCATATTTGGCATCTTGTAAACCAAATCTAAAATTATAAATTAGAAAGCATTTTAAAGTTTCTTTTTATAAAATGACAAATATTATGAAATAATTTCTCTCTTACCAATAACTTGTAAGAAGTTGGGGAGATCCTTTAAAAGTGTTAGGCTTTCTAAAGCAGAAACAAATACATTATTAGCACGGGAAGTACAATTACATGGGCAGAGATTCTTTGTAATCTACTTGATTTTGGAGGCTTCATTTCTCAAGCTCAGGAAAGTGTTGTTTATATAAATATTCTTTCAACATAATGGTCAACCAATTATATTTCTATGGTTTCACCAGGAGAGGAAGGTGTAGAGAACTGAAATTCCCCTATGAGTGCTGTAGGATTCCTCATAGGACTAAGTGAAGATCTCCAACTGGGCATTGTGGATTTAGATGAGTGTGAGAGATCCAGAATATTCTACAGGGTATTACAGCCTTCAGAATTATAAACATTAAGCCACTCTAGACTGTTCTAGTTTTAACAACTGAAATTATACTTTATGCCACTATTTCCCACAACAGGTGACACTTTTTGTTTGTTTTGGTTTCACACTCTATCTCCCTGGCTAGAGTGCAGTGATGCAATCATAGATCACTGTAGCCTCAAACTCATGGGCTCAAGAAGTCCTGCCACCTTGGCCTCTAAAAGTGCTAAGATACCAGGAAGGAGACACCATTCCTGACCCACTTCTGACTTTTTTTTGCAAATTTTATTTTATATACAAAGTTTGATGTTCTGAGTGCATTGATCATTATGGTTTCATCTGAGCTCATCAAAACTTGATGTTTTTATTAGTCTTTTTATTTCAAATTAATATCAGGGTACAAATTTTGAGATTATGTTGTTCTCACTTCCAGGGTAAAGTTCCAATTGTAAAGGAGCCCCTCACTGAAGGAGAGAATAAAATGCACTCAAATAAAATTAAAAATATACAGATAAAATTTAGTGTTATATACCCTAGCAATGTGCACATGAGGTGAGACCCCACCACATGCCCTTCCTCCTTCTGCCAATCATCGTCCCTGTCTACCTTCCCCTTCCCTTTCTCTCTTCCCTCTGCCCCTGTATTAGACTATATTTGTGTTTTATTATTCTTATGAACATGTAAATGGTTATATATTGATTTCACATTAGTATAGAGTACATTGGATATTTATTTTTCCATTCTTGCAACACTTTACTAAGAAGAATGTGTTTTGACTTCATCCAGGTAAATGTAAAAGATATGAAGTCCCCATCTTTTTGATGGCTGAATAGTATTCTGTGGTATACGTGTACCACAATTTGTTGATCCATTCATGGGTTGATGGGCATTTGGGTTGCTTCCATTACTGGCAATTATGAAATGAGCTTCATTAAACATTCTGGTGCAAATGTCTTTGTGGTAAAATGATTTTTGTTCTTTGGGTAGATACCTAGTAATGGGATTGCAGGATCAAATGGCAGGTTAACTTCTAGTTCTTTGATGATTTTCCAGGCTTCTTTCCACAAAGGTTGTATTAGTTTGCTATCCCACCAGCATTGTGGAAGTGTTCCCTTCTCTCCACATCCACACCAGCATCTGCAGTTTAGGGATTTTGCAATGTGGGTTAATCTTACTGGAGGGAGGTGATACCTCAGAGTGATTTTGATATACATTTCTCTGATGATTAGGGATGATGAGCATTTTTTCATGTGTTTAGAGGCCATTCATCTTCAGAGAAGATTCTGTTTTATTCACTAGCCCACTTATAGAGGTTGTTTGCTCTTTTCTTGTTATTTAATTTGAGTCCTCTGTAGATTCTAGTTATGAGGCAAAACTTAATTTTAATGACACCTGCCGCCTCCCGACCGGCGGGCGGCGGCGGGTTGGGGAGTCGGAGTATGAAATGGGAAGACAAATAAGACAAAGACAGACACATTGGGAAAGGGACTGAGCTGAAGCTGTTTATTGTAATAGGTAGGGGTTTATATAGGTTTAGTTAGTGGGGGAACGAGGGTTATGTATGTAGTCC